TTTTTCAGCCCCCCTTTGGAGCATGGGGTCAACCAAGGTGGGGGTGCTCTAATTCACCCACCCCAACCTCCAGCATCTATTGGGGAACCTGTAGAACGAGCCATTCTTACTAACAGGCCCTGAGACATCACAGTCAACTCCATCTGCTGCGCTAACGTTAGAAATTCATTCACATCCAAGGATAGTGGATTTACAACAAAGGTGCCACAAGTGGACCTCAGTGGCAGACATAGGAAAGTTTAAAGTGAGGGAGGTTGAGCTGACCTGCCATCCATCAGAGTGGTTCTGTGACGCTAGGCAGTGGCATGCTGAGATGCCAAACTACTTTGCACAAACTTGATCTTGGATAGAAAGCACCAGAACTGCCTTTAGCCTGACACTGCAGGCATGTCAGTTGGCTGTTGCTTAAGGCAAAGTTAACTAACCTAGATGTCATACCTTCTGGACACAGTTTTGCTGCTTCCATTCTGAAACTAGTGCATATAGACCAAGGGTGGGCAAGTATTTGGACTGGAGGGTCACTTAATGAGTTTTGTTGAGTTGCTGAGGGCTGCACACATGTACACATGTGCTCAGGCACATGTAGACATGTGTGCACGTACAGGCACACTCAGACACAAGTTCCCTGAAGCTCTCACTGCACCCCCACCCAACCCAAGTCCCTGGCATGTGGCCAGGTTGGGCAGGAGCCATGCCAGCTGTACCCACGTGACCTGAAGTGGAATGCAAGAATGCAGTGTAGTACTGTCCCAGTCCAGCCAAGGGCTCAGGGCGCTGCCTTGGCATCTCCTGCACCCCTACCAGGCCCTGGCAGGGCATGGATAACCCGCAGCTCTTGGCTCTCTTCTCCCTGAACCCCCTCCCCTGCCAGCAGGGAGTACCATATCTGAGCTTCGACTCTTGGTGGGGACCAGGCTGTCTGGTTTGCAAATGGCCATAGGATTGGAGCTGCATGCAGACACCCTGGCTGGGCCAAAGCCTGGCCAGGAGCTCACACATGGAGCATAAACTGGGGGCTGTGTGGGTGGGCTGGGCCCAGCCAGGCCAGGGAGGGGTGTGGCTGCCTGGCCACTGGAGCTGCTGCTGCAGTTGTCTACAGCAAGGGGAGAGAGGAGGGCGAGAGCTGCCGAAAGCCAGGGCAGCTGCTGGCTGAATACAGTTCTCCTTCTGAAGAGTGGCTGCAGGTCGGATAGAATCATTTGGTGGGCCAGATCCAGCCCATGGGCCATATTTTGCCTAGCCCTGATATAGATTCATAGATGTTAGGGTTGGAAGGGACCTCAATAGATCATCGAGTCCGACCCCCTGCATAAGCAGGAAAG